AGATCATTTATTTAGTTGCATTACTCAAAAGTACTGCAAGTATATATGTATGTATGAGTGTGGGTAAAAGAAGTGAGTCGATTTCTCGGACTTAACTCGTTTGATCGATCTTCTGGGAAAGTGGACGTCTACCCCAAAATAATTTACAATTAAATAAAAGTACATGATATATAAAAAAGGTTTTATCAAAAATTATCACGTTCGATGAAAGAATTACGAGTTAATGTACCGTAGAAAGTATGTAATATTAAATGAGATAACAAAAAAATAATAACGATTTAATAATAAAAATTTATCTCAGATTCTCTTTATCGAATTTTGCCGAAAATACCCATACCATCGAGACTGTAGTTAAGTATTAAGCGCACGGATGAATTAAAAGCATCAAAGAAAGCCGTTAAAGTCTTACGCGCCAATTACAGAGCATCGTTGTCGATCTCAATGACACGTAGATTCGCGTGGTGCTCAAGAGCGACTCTGGTACCAAGTGAAACGTTAATTAAATAAATTAAAACGTCCTGGTGTAGTCAAGCAAGTAATTGACGATCTTATATCTTATTTCGTGTAAATGTATATTATATAGAGATCTCTTTCACAAAGTTTAAGTCTTGATGTCTTTGATATATAATAATAAATAAATAATGTACTAATATATACAGTGCAGATAAAAGTGTATTGAATGAAAATGTCTTCGTTGTCATATCATATTTTCCTGGCATTATTTAATACACACCCGTCAATTCCTCTAAACTTTCATTTTAAATGTTAACAACTTAATTGATCATTAGATATTTTCTCTATAAATCAATTGCAACATTGTAGACTAGGTAATTATTATCGGAGGTGAGGCAAGCGAAACTGTCATTCTGAATTTAGAATCCAAGCGAAATGTCATTTTTTTTTTTTTGCGGGGATGGCTGTAATTATTTTAAATAGATTGATCGCTTGGTATTAATTAAAATTTTTTTTTGTGTTTAATGAAGCAAGGAGTGGTATTTAATATTTTTTATAATCTAGTTTTACTTGCAAAAAATAATTTTTTAAAACTTTGATTAGTTTTGAAATTGTATCAAGTTTTATTTTTCTATTTTTGAAAAATAATAATAACTAAGCACCCTTGCAGTCACCATGTGACTTCCGTGATTTGTGAAATATAAATAAATAAATTTTGGTTTATTGAATAATGATTTTAGTTAAATTGTACTGTATTTTCTTAAATATTGACGATTTTGAAGATATAAGCTCATCCCGATGTTATACTCATCGAGAGCTTTCATTTAAGTACCCACATGCATTTTTGATGTATTTTTCATATATACATATATGTAATATATATAAATATATGAAAAATTGATGTGGGTACTCAAATTAAAGGTCTCGATGAGTGCAATGTCGGGGTGAGCTTATATCTTTAAAAATGTTAATAGTTCACAAGATATTTGTTAAATTTCACTGTACTTTTTTAAATATCAATGTTTTTAAAGATATAAGCTCATCCCGATGCTACACTCATGAAGAGCTTTCATTTGAGTACCCACATGCATTTTGATATATTTTTCATATATACATATATAATATATATAAATATATGAAATATATGAAAAATTGATGTGGGTACTCAAATGAAACGTCTCGATGAGTGTAACATCGGAATGAGCTTATATCTTTAAAGATGTCAATATTTCACAAGATACAAGGTCATTTTTTAATTATTGACATTTTTAAAGACATAAGCTCATTCCGATGTTATACTCATCAAGAGCTTTCATTCGAGTACCCACATGTATTTTTATATATATATATAAATTGATGTGGGTACTCAAATGAAAGGTCTCGATGATTGTAATGTCAGGGCGAGCTTATATCTTTAAAAATGTCGATATTTCTCAAGATACAAGGTCATTTCTTAGTTATGTATCTATAGATATAGAGCATTTTTTAATGCAGCCTAAATACTTATCATAATAAATTGACTATCGGTGAGAATGATAAGAAACCTCTTATTATAAATTATAACTTTTATCTAAAAGTTCATGTTTTTTTTTTAAATTGCCTTTCTTAATTCATCTATGATCATTATCATTTTTTTTTCCAACCCTCATATTTTTAACACATTAATTAGCGAATCTTTAGTAAGAATTTTAATGAAATATTTCAACCTTTTGAAGCTACAATAAAAATACCTTAATTAATTAACAAGATCTCACTAATTAAATTAAATGAAACGAAATAACTAACAGTAAAATAAAATTTTCTTCAGTAACTTTAAAAGCGGTCATTTTTCCACGTCTTTAATTAATCTTAAAAAAAATTAATAACAATAAAAATACTTTACAAGCGTCTGTTAACGGTAGAAAAATGAAATGAGGATAGTAGGGCTAAGGGTGACGAGCTTATAATGGTGTTCTTGACTATGCTAGTTCTCCGTATGTTTTTTTTATCGGTGAAAAAAAAGATCGCAATGCGACTACAAAGCTAGATGTCTTTTGAAAGACGTCACGAGTCTGGTGTGTGTGGTTTAAAAAAGTAATAATCGCTTTCGTATTATTAAAGTAGACTTTCCGTGTTGAGAAACGATTGGCATGGCTGAAAGTAGGAGATAAAAAAAAGAGAGAGAAAGAGTACGCGCGATATATACACAAGCGAACAACCACTGTACATGTACACAGAGAAACTAGGTCCATTGTCACACGAGGTCAGGTCATACAGCCCCATACATTAGCTTCTCTCGTGACAAAGGCGTCAAGTTTCGTAACAAAACTTGTAAGGAGTTTTCGAAAGCCGCCCACCCACCAACAAATCTACGGACCCTACTCAGGACTATGTTCCTATGTTACGTTCCTTTCAGTCTGCTCTATCCTGTCTATCTGTTTCATACTTCACTGTTTAGTTATTATATTTATATACTTTAAACTCTATACTTCTTATACCTAATCACATACTGGGGTAATAAAGTCTAGTCGGCTCGTTTAGTTCTTGTTAATCATTTGTGAATTGTGTCGATTTCTTTCTTAGCTCTTATCCATCATCTCAATTTTATTTTTTATCTTTATCTTGACACTCATTTTTATTGACGCCATTACAACATTGTTATTAATGTCATAATGAATAAATAAATAAATAAATAAATATTTATCTGGGTGTATGTCGGTACCTGATTATTATGTCGTTAATATTCTCGATTCAAAGTGTTATTAGTACTGATAACCTCAAGTAAAGGTATTCTGGGGGTTAGATAATCTATTGTACATTGTGCGATTATTTTTTTTTAAGTCGAGAAATAAACAACGGAGTTTTAAAAGTTTGATTAAAGTTTTACTGACATTGCTCATAAACAATTTTGTGTAAATTTTCAAATTAATCAAATTCCTTTTAGTAAAAATAACTTTGAAAAATTCTATTACATATGGAAAAAAGTAAACTGTAATAAATAATAAGGTAAAAGACCCCATTAGTGGCACCTTTAACCCCTATTAGTGGCACTTTTTCTTTCAATAAAAAAATGTTCTACTTGAAATAAAAATTAAAAATTTTTTTGATCTAAAGGTCTTAAAGATTAGAAATAATATATTCATTATTGAAATTAATGATTTTATTAATTAAATAAGAATCAAAATCAAAGAAAGTGTCAGTAATGCGGTCTTTTACTCTAGTCGATTTATAAAAAGTAAATGATCATTTATGATCAACTGGAAAAAATTACCACACGGAAAAAAGAAAATAGGAATATTTTACAGTAAAAAATGTAAAATCGGTCTCGTCGTAATCAAAACTAGATAAATTACAGTTCTAAATAACATTTTTCTAAATTCAAACTTTGAATGTTAATTTTCAGAGCTTTCAATGTAATATTTACATTTTACAATGTAATTCTTATATAATCTGTAATAATTACAATCTGAATCTGTAATTTTTCCAGTTTTAATCACTGAGCTCCAGCACGTTGTATTATATACTGTAATTTTTCGAGTTTTCTTTTTTCCGTGCATTTCAAACAGTAAAATCATGATTTTAATAATCACTTTATAATATTTTTTTATGATTTAAATGCTACAATTTATTCTTGAAAAAAAAAAAAAAAATACTATTTTAAACAGTGATATTCGCTATGTGAACGTCGAAAATGTTAAAGTATAATAATTAAGAATTTTAACTTTGATAATTATCATTTCGTACCTAAAAAATGATCGCATGATATGTAAAAAATATAAAATACAATTACTAAATTTCTAATACAAACAACGTCAATATTTACCAAGTAAAATGGTAAATTTTAAACGCAACGCTAAAAATCAAACTATAATTATTGATTTGCTTTGATTGATAAAATATATATTTTAAGAGTAGAATTTTCTCTGTTTCAAGTGTTAAATTCTCCTCATTTGTAAAGCTAATGCTCCAGCAAACCATTAGTACTCTTTTTTGTCAATGCGCATTGAAACGGCAATTTTTACTGTTTGAAACTACAATTCTTTAAGATAAGAGAGTCGTTAATTACTATAATGACACCTGCTAATCACTTATTTTCGATATTAAATTATAAATAGTGGCTTTTGCAGTTTCTATATACATTTAGTTTTGTAATATTTACATTTTGCCACCCTGATGTCCGCTGTACTATTTGAAACTATAAAAATTAACCGGAATCTGAGTGAATTTTGCTGTTTACTTTTTTCCGTGCATAGATACATACAGGTCAAGCTAATGTTAAAAATAAAATAAAAGCATATTCATACAATAACAATAAAAAATACATAACATCAAATTTTGTAATTTTTTAAATTAAAGCAATTGCTTTTAATAATTAATAAAAAGTAAAACTATTGAATTGCATTATTGTTTGTTTAAAAAGAAACAAAGGTTTAAATTATAAATATTATTATTATTTTAGACACATAGTCCTATAATAAGTCTACACTGTTAGATCGTTATATATTATAAATAAACAAATAAATAAAATTTATTGCACGATTATTTATATTCCGCTTTGTCTGTTGCAGAGTGGCGGTGGAGGCGGAGGAAGAGACGGCGGAGGAGATGACTCAGACGAGGATACCCAGTGCGCATTGAGCGAGAATTGGACCTTCGAAAAGAAAACGCGAAGATGGTCACGAATCTGCGATATAAGTCAAGCAAATGTCGAGCGATTGCAAGCGATAGCCGCGGGGCAGCTTCCCTGTCCGGATGATTCACTGGAAGACCGTCTTGAGACTGACGACCCCGAGGAAACAATGATAGTCCACGGAAGTGTCAGATTCGAGACCATCTCCAGCACCCCTAATTCCGACGACATGAGTCCCAAGTTCCGTAGAACCGGATCCGAGCGTCTCCGCGACGGAGCCAAGGCATTTTTACGCCGGGTCGAGTCTCTTAAATCGCGACGTCGCAAGCGGCAAAACCGCGAGGGAGTTGTGATCAGCGGTCCCCAGGTTCTGGACGTGATTTCCATGCAGCAGAAAATGAAAGACCTCAATTGCGTAGATGTCTCTCCCACAGGACTTGCTCCTGTGTCTTTTGGCGAGGGATTTTTGCTGCCCTCTCCAAACCCACCGTCTTCACCGGTAACTATGCCGAACTCGCCGTACCACTTGCCGAGCAACTTGATGACCAACACGAGCAGTCCTTTCGGGGACGACTCGTCCAGTTACTGCTCAGACGGTTCTCAAAGCGGGACAAACACCCACACCATCACGAGCTCCTCGACAACTGGATCAACCAAAACAAAATTCAACAAAGCCAAAAGATTCCTCTACCGCGGCGGCGGCGGCGGCGGCGGAATGAAGGAAGACCAAGGCACGTTGAGCGATTCCGAGTGCCAGCCCTCGAACTGGCGACACAAGTACCTGAAGGATGCCAACAGCAATCACACTAAAGTACTGGAGTACTTGACCAGTCAGTCGCCAGCTCCTGTTGGAGGAACTACTCACTCTCCGTCGATTAGCACCAGAGGTGGCAGTCTAAATCTCGGCAAAGATTCTCAGCGGTATCGCGAGAAAATTACTGGCCAGTCGAAGCTCAACGACAAGGAGCTCAAGGTCGTTGCTCTGAAACGCGAGGATAAGTTCCACAGGAGCTTCCGGCATGCTCACGATGACTTGGTGATCGATCGGAAGCAGCAGGCGATGCTGATAAAGCACCACCAGCAGCATCAGCAGCAACAAGTCACTGTTTATCGGGAAAAATCGCGGTCAAGGAGCTCCGAACTGGCGGCCAGTCAGGAGAGCAGCTCGACGATGGCCAGTCGGGATTCTGATCCAGAGGATGAGTCACCCAGGCACAAGGGGACTGTTGTTAGGTGGCACAGTTTCCAGCGCGGGTCCCTCTATCCGGAACCGCTGGATCCACTTTGTCCGCGCGCTATGGCCTCCATGTCTTGCGGGCAGCTCCTTGTTCTGAGAAAACTTGCTCTGCTTAAGCTGACCGCATGCATGGAGCGCTACTGTCCAACTCATCGGACTGGCTGGAATTGGGAACTGCCGAAGTTTATCAGGAAAATAAAGACCCCTGATTATAAAGACAAAACGGTGTTTGGTGTTCCGCTTTTACTGTCCCTGCAGAGGACTGGCCAGGCGCTGCCCAAGTGCATTCAGATTGCGCTGAGGTGGTTGAGGGCAAACGCGCTTGATCAGGTGGGAATTTTCCGCAAGAGCGGAGTTCGTTCCAGGATTCAGAAGCTTAAAGCTATGACGGAAGTACAGGGGGACAATATTAATTTTGATGGCCAACAGGCGTTTGATGTTGCGGATCTTGTTAAACAGTATTTCCGTGAATTGCCTGAAGCTTTGTTGACTAATAAATTGTCCGAGACGTTCATTGCTATTTTTCAACATGTACCGGTTGATCTGAGACCTGATGCGGTGCAATCGGTTCTGCTGCTACTGCCGGATGAACATAGAGAGGCGCTGGAAACTCTTCTGGATTTTTTGAATCATGTGGCCAGTAATTCACCGTATAATCAAATGACTGCGTCTAATTTGGCGGTTTGTCTTGCTCCAAGCTTGTTTCATCTTAATCATAATAACTCGAATAGTAATAATCGGTCGTCCAGTGTGTCACCGAGGAGAAGGAAGACTGTTGGGATTCCAGATCAACGGGAATTGTCGGAAAATAAAGCGGCACATGATTGTCTTCTTTATTTGGTTAAAATGCATCGTGAATTGTTCATGGTACGTTTTTATTATTATTATTATTATTATTATTATAAATTAGTGACAGTACTTTTTTTTCTATAAATTAAAATTAAATTATATAAAATTTATTTAAATGATTCGTTTTAAAATTTATAGACAGTTTTTATATAAATTACATTTTACAATCAAGTAAATTTAAATTAAAATTTTTTGTTTTAATAAACTTGAACAATTTTTTAAATCTTAGAATTTTTACACTGCAAAAAATTAATTTAATTAAAAACTATTTAAACAAAAAAATTATTTTGAATTAAACAGACAAATTTTTTAATCAAAAAAACTATATTTAAACCAAGAAAAAATTTTTAATTTAAAAACTTTTTCATTAACAATAAAAAAACCTTTCAAAATGATTTTTTTTGTTAAAAAAACATTTTTTTTTAATCAAGTTAATTGTTTTTCTAAATGTAAATAATTTTCAAAAATCATATAACTTTTTAAATAATTCAAACTAGCAATCTTGCGGTCACTATGTGACTGCCGGGGCTTGTGAAATATAAATAAATAAAATTTTGCTTTATTAAATAATGACTTTTGTTAAATTGCACTGTACTTTCTTAAATATTGACGTTTTTGAAGATATAAGCTCATCCCGGTGTTACACTCATCAAGAGCTTTCATTTGTGTACCCACATGCATTTTCATATATTTTTCATTTATACATATATATAATATGTATAAAATATATGAAAAATTGATGTGAGTACTCAAATAAAAGGTCTCGATGAGTGTAATATCAAGATGAGCTTATATCTTCAAGAATATCATTAGTTGACAAGATAGCAAAGTTAGTTCTTAATAATTTAATTGTTAAGATTCATTTTTCTCATCAATGTATAAATAATAATTAATCCATTTATTTTATTATATGTTAAGGTTTCATCGGATATGTTGACACAGTGTCACTTTAATTACATGGAAGAGAGCGTTCCCGTTGGCTTAGAAGAATTGGGCTCTGAAATGAAACAAGACTGGCGTGGTTACATGTATGTCTGTACAACTGCTTTATTGAAAGAAGCACGTGAAAAGTAAGAAATAACAATAATAATACACTTAGAAAAAAAAACACCTTCAATTAAAAAAATTTTTTTTTGGCTTAAGTAAATTTTACTCAAACCAAGAATTATTCTATTAAATTTTTTTAAATATAAAAATAATGATATAAATTATTGATTATTTATTATTAATAAAAAAAATCAATTACAGAAGCCGTGGTTGGGTAACAGTAAGCAATCCAGCAGACAGCAGCGTCGAAATGGCGTACAAAAAAGTAGGAGACGGCCACCCTTTGCGCTTATGGCGAGTATCAACGGAAGTAGAAGCACCTCCTCATGAATTACTCCACCGAGTATTGCGCGAACGTCACATCTGGGATCCTCAACTACTGAAGTACCGTATGGTGAAAAAACTGGACGCTAATGCGGAGATATTTCAGTACGCAGCGGGTAACATGAGTCCATTACCGGCGCGAGATTACTGTGTCCTGAGAACCTGGAGAACGGACTTACCGAAGGACGCCTGTGTAATTGTCGAAACATCAGTCCAGCATCCAGACGCCCCGGTGATGCTGGGAGGGACTCGCGGAATAGTCCTGGCGTCACGTTATCTCATCGAGAAGAGCGGAAGTGGAAAATCACGTATCATGCATTTGTCACGAGTCGACACCAAGGGTCGGACGCCAGAGTGGTATAATAAAAGCTACGGTCACATTGCCGCTCTTTATTTAAGTAAAATACGTAATTCATTCAAGCACTCATCCGATGGCCCCGAAAGTAAAGTCTGAGATAGGGCCTCCGTACAATGCTCGTCATTGTACGGATCTCAAGAATCAAGCATCTCTGATCACTCTTCTTCTTCCAGAGATGATATGGATTATCTAACAGTTCCTCTTACGATTGATGAGGAATAAACAAAAAATAAAATTGTTTAAGAATTATCATTGTATCTTTATCAATTATAAATTATAAATAACCAACAACACAGAAAGAACAAGATGACACTAGATATCATTCTAAATTATACTGAGTGAAAAAATTTTTATATAGTAGCTAGTATAGTTCAGATTATAATGAGTATAATCCAGATTACAATGAGTATAATCCAGATATCGAGCAGTAAAATTTGGATTTTTTAGCTACTATCTGAAATTTTTTTTTTTCACCGCAAATATCACTGAGTAGAATCCAGATTACAATCAATATAATCCAGATATCACGCAGTACAATCTTAATTTTTTTAGTTACACAGAAAAAAAATGTTCTTCAATCAAGTATATAATTTTGAAGAACTTCATCTTTTTGATTTAATTAAAAAAATTCTTAAACTAAGAAATTTTTTCTTAGTTCAAAAATTTTCCTCTCCAATCAAGTTAATTTTTTTTTCACTGTACCATCTGAAATTTTTTTTCATCACAGATATCACTGACTATAATCTGGGATGATATCCAGTGTCATCTTGTTTTTTCCGTAAAACAGAGTATATTATATTATATCTAATAATAATTATAATATATTATGTTTATTATTGTATTTATAAAAAAAAATGTGAATCTCAATGTCAATTTTTCCATGTCGACTTTAAATCCGTTTTACTTATTACTTATTTATTTTTATTTATACGGATTTTATTATGAGTATTTAAGAAAAAAAATTTTATTCGACTTGGTTAAACAAGATTATATTTTTTTCTACTAAAGTAGTAAAATATAAATTGAAGAAAATTTTCGTCAGAACAAATTTTTAGCAAAAGATCAAAATTTCCAAAAATTTTTAAAATATTTGAGTTTAAAAATTTGGAAGTACAGATAAAATTTAAATAAGATCTGAATATCGTAAAATCCTGTATAAATGTTGGTAATTGTACCAACAATAATGTATTCTAGTTTTAATAAAATCATTTTAAAAAATATTTGTTTAAATAAATTAAAAATGAAATATTCAAATTTAATAAATATTTTGAACATTTTAAAAAAACAAATTAATAAAATAATAAAAATAATAATTAATAAAATAATTCATTTTAGAAAAATTAAAAATTTTGACTGCATTTATTTTATTAAAAAAAAATTACTTATAAAATTTTTAAATAATTTTAAATGAATAAAAAAAATCTATAATTTATTTCAAAAATTAAAATTCTAGTTTTAATAAAATCATTTTAAAAAATATTTGTTTAAATAAATTAAAAATGAAATATTCAAATTTAATAAATATTTTGAACATTTTAAAAAAACAAATTAATAAAATAATAAAAATAATAATTAATAAAATAATTCATTTTAGAAAAATTAAAAATTTTGACTGCATTTATTTTATTAAAAAAAAATTACTTATAAAATTTTTAAATAATTTTAAATGAATAAAAAAAATCTATAATTTATTTCAAAAATTAAAATTCTAGTTTTAATAAAATCATTTTAAAAAATATTTGTTTAAATAAATTAAAAATGAAATATTCAAATTTAATAAATATTTTGAACATTTTAAAAAAACAAATTAATAAAATAATAAAAATAATAATTAATAAAATAATTCATTTTAGAAAAATTAAAAATTTTGACTTTACATTTATTTTATTGAAAAAAATCGCTTATAAAATTTTTAAACAATTTTTAAAGAATAGAAAAAAATATATATATAATTTATTATAAAAATTTAAAATTCTAGTTTAAATAAAATCTTTTTAAATAAATATTTGTTAAAATTAATTAAAAATGAAATATTAAAATTTGATAAATATTTTAAACATTTTAAAAAAATTAAAAATTTTTACTTTGCATTTATTTTATTAAAAATCGCATATAAAATTTTTAAATAATTTTTAATTAGAAAAAATCTATTATTTATTATAAAAATTAAAATTCTAGTTTTAATAAAATCATTTTAAAAAATATTTGTTTAAATAAATTAAAAATGAAATATTCAAATTTAATAAATATTTTGAACATTTTAAAAAAACAAATTAATAAAATAATAAAAATAATAATTAATAAAATAATTCATTTTAGAAAAATTAAAAATTTTGACTTTACATTTATTTTATTGAAAAAAATCGCTTATAAAATTTTTAAACAATTTTTAAAGAATAGAAAAAAATATATATATAATTTATTATAAAAATTTAAAATTCTAGTTTAAATAAAATCTTTTTAAATAAATATTTGTTAAAATTAATTAAAAATGAAATATTAAAATTTGATAAATATTTTGAACATTTTTAAAAAACAAATTAATAAATAAATCATTTTAGAAAAATTAAAAATTTTGACTGCATTTATTTTATTAAAAAAAAATTACTTATAAAATTTTTAAATAATTTTAAATGAATAAAAAAAATCTATAATTTATTTCAAAAATTAAAATTCTAGTTTTAATAAAATCTTTATTCCAATTTTAAACTTAATGTAATTAATTCAACATTATTGAATCAATAAACGGTTGTCAAGGAAACTGTTTAACTTAGTTACCACCTTTTTAAACAAATTTAACCCCTGAAACTCTGAGACTTACTTTTCTTATCGAATAAATAACAGTAAAAAATTTTTATATTAAAAATAATAGAAAAAAATGGTCCGCTTACATGTTAAGAAAGGTGATGAAAGTCAATTTCTGTATGATACCACCGTTGATACACTTGTTGACGATGTTATTCAAGAAATAACTGTTATTTACAACGGTCGGCTAAAGATAAACCGGATTGCCTATGGTACGTATCCGCGTTATTTCTTCTCGTGCACAAATATCAGTAAAATTTGATAATTGATAAATGATAATCAATATTATTATTAATTATTTATAAATTCATATTTATAGAAATGGAAGAACTTGCAAAACATGGTACAATGTTGCCGTCTAATATGATGGGATTAACGGATGAACAAGTGATCGAGTTAAAATTAAAAGACGAGTGGGCTGATAAGTGCTCGCCTATGGGTGGTTGGACGTTCAATAAAGACGTTATGGGTAAAAAAAAAATTTTATAATAAGGAATGATAAGATGATTATATTTAGAAAAATTATAAACTGTAAAATATAATTTAATAGGCCGTCGCAATGGTCGCCAGCCGAACGAAAAAATGCAAGAAATTCTGAAAAAAGCTTGTAAAGATGCGCAAGCTATGATAACTAAGGTAATTATGATTATAATGAATGATTGCAATAATAAAAATTAAAAAAATCATAATAATTATAATAACTAATAGCAAATTTGCAGTCACTATGTGACTACCGTCGTTTGTAAACTATAAATAATTAAATTTTTGCTTTATTAAATAATGACTATTGTTAAATTGTACTGTACTTTATTAAATATTGACATTTTTAAAGATTTAAGCTCGTCCCGATGTTAGACTCGTCAAGAGTTTTCATTTGAGTACCTACATGCATTTTTGATATATTTTTCATATGGGGCATTCCATGCCAAATCGACCACTTTTGACACCGAGCCTTTTCGATTTTTCTGAAATTTTGGTATCTTTCTCTACCCTATTGAAAACAATTTTCAGAATTTTTTCAAATTTTTTTACCCAACCAAAAAAAAGTTACAAGTTATTACAAAAAAACAGCTTTTTTTTGTTAAATAACCATAAATTTTTTGAAAATTGACTTTTTGGGATGTTTTTTTTTTTTTGAAATTTTTGTCTTTAAATGTACTTTAAAAAAAAAAAAAAAAAATAATAATTCGGATTCATATTCAATGTTTTTTTTTTAACTTTTTGGAAAAAAACGAAAATTTCGGAATGATGATTGACACTTTTGATTTTCGATTTTTCTTTTTTATAAAAAAACTTCAGTATTTTTTGCAAATTAACTAAAATTTTCAGAGTGGTAAACTTTTTCTTTCTATTTTTCTTCTATCTATCTATTTCTTTCTATCTTCCAAAAAGTTAAAAAAAACATTGAATATGAATCCGAATTATTATTTTTATTTTTTTTCTTTTAAAGTACATTTAAAGACAAAAACTTCAAAAAAAAAAACATCCCAAAAAGTCAATTTTCAAAAAAGTTATGATTATTTAACAAAAAAAAAAAGCTGTTTTTTTGTAATAACTCGTAACTTTTTTTTGGTTGGGTAAAAAAATTTGAAAAAATTCAGAAAATTGTTTTCAATAGGGTAGAGAAAGATACCAAAATTTCAGAAAAATCGAAAACGGTCGGTGTCAAAAGTGGTCGATTTGGCATGGAATGCCCCATATAAAATATAAATATTATGTAAAGATGGACGGTGGAGTTTCTTAGATGGTCCACCTTTACAAGCATGCAATGTGAGTGTTATCCATACATGCTTGTAAATTAAAATAAAAATAATGTAACAAAATTTCTAAACTAAAAATAAAAATATTTTCAAAATTTTGAAAATTTTAACTTTCAAATTAAATTTGATTTTTAAATTAAATAAAATTTTCAATTAAATGAAATTAGATTTTTTCTAGCGCTCTACGAGATTATTAATAACTTTGTAATAATTAAATATTTTTTGATAAAAATTTGGGATAATAATCTTTAATGTACCCTTTATAAAATAAAAAAATCAGATCCCCAAATTCGTTAATTTTCCCTGTTAAAAAAATTCCCGAAAATCACCTTTTTTTTCGAACGTCATAGTGGTTGTTCCCCCTTAAATGTGTTCTTAGGTAGATTCATAATATTACTATATTTTCGCAGTTGTTAAGCAGCGGTTACAAATGTACAACTCACCTTATAGAGATGTTATGTCTTGTATTCGGCACATATATAAAACCGAAGGGATATTTGCGTTTTATCGTAGCTATACCACACAACTAACTATGAATATACCATTTCAAGGCTTGCATTTCATCGCCTATGAATTTGGACAGTCTTTAATGAATCCAGACCATGTTTACAATCCAATAGCACACGTTGTTTCTGGTAGAGTCTTTAGTATAGTCATTTAAATGTCGACAAATTTAAATTAATTAACTTTTTTTTTTTTTAAAAAAAAGGTGCTATGGCTGGAGCTTCTGCTGCAGCGGCAACGACTCCTTTGGACGTCTGTAAAACGGTCCTTAATACACAACAAAATGGAGTTAAACCTCAAGGAATGGTTCAAGCTATTCAAATAGTATACAATTACGCGGGTATACCTGGGTTTTTCCGTGGTTTGAGTGCGCGGATTTGTTACCAAATACCAGCTACTGCAATTTGTTGGTCAACGTAAGTAAAGATTTTCGATTTTTCTTTTTTATAAAAAACTTCAGTATTTTTTGCAAATTCCCTGAAATTTTCAGAGTGGTAAAATTTTTCTTTCTATTTTTTTTTTAATGAAAAAAAAATTTTTTTTTAAATGTTTGTTTTTCGTTATACCACTCTGAAAAAAAAATAGAATAAAAAATTCATATGAAATATATGAAAAATTGATGTGGGTACTCAAATGAAAGGTCTCGATGAGTATAACATTGGGATGAGCTTATATCATTAAAAATGTCAATATTTCACAAGATACAAGGTAATTTCTTAATTATATATCTAGAGATAGAGCATTTTCGAATGCAGCCTAAATACTTATCATAATAAATTAACTATCGGTGAAAATCAAATGAAACCTTGAAAATACACTAATTTAAAATTAATTTTAAATCAAGACCTTTGCAATAAAACTAAATTTCACTAAAAAAAAAAAAAAAAAGATTATATCATATGACTATCCTGGAAACAAAATTTTTCTTACTCTCTTAATAATATAGATAAACAATATTTATTAATATTGACTCGGCAGAAACTTGTTGCTGAAGATAAGCTGATGAGTTTAAAAATAGTTAATGAAGCGTTGGATCTACTAAGAGGTGCTTCAATGATAGTTTATCCGATGGGCTTACCACCTCACGATGTTATCCGCAAGGAATTCGAAAACACTGAAGATTTAACGGGAACCCAGGCATCGCTTGAGGTAATCCGGGTATCCGTAATTCCGGCAATCTTATCTGGATAAGCCCGGATAAATAAACATCTTATAAATATGAATATAAGTATGTAAATATTTATCTAGGTGATGGACGTACAAATGACTCAGCTGTGGTTCTCCGGCAAGGAAATGATACGGGGAAAAAAGCTCAAGGATTATTTAGGCGCCAATGAGAAGACTAAAATCGTCGTAAAGCTGCAGAAACGCGGATCTGGTATGCCAGCTCGCGAGCCGCTGATGAATGATGACGAGCGCAAGGAATTTATGATGCATGCTTATCGACGCCAGGAACAGCTCAAGGTAAGCTCTTTTTATCTGTGCTGTTGATACTAAAGCGGTTGGTATGACAAGAATTTTTTACAGTATATCCTAGATGTTTTTTTTAATTAGAATTTTATTAATTAAATTTTGATTGATTGAAATTTAGAGTTAAATAAATATTGATTGATTTTTTGCTGAATTTAAAATAATTATTTTGAGATTTCATATCATTCTCACCGATAGTCAATTAATGATGATAAGTATTTAGGCTGCATTCGGAAATACTCTATCTCTAGATACATAATAAAGAAATGACCTTGAATCTTAATAACTATTGACATTTTTAAAGATATAAGCCCATCCCGATGTTACACTCATCGATACCTTTCATTTGATTACCCACATCAATTTTTCATATATTTATATATTTATATATATTATATATATGTATATATGAAAAATATATCAAAAATGCATGTGGGTACTCAAATGAAAGCTTTTGATGAGTCTAACATCGGGATGAGCTTTATCTTCAAAAATATCAATAATTAATAAATGACCTTGTATGTTGTAAAATATTGACATTTTTAAAGATATAAAAAATAACACAATTTTTTTATGTGATTAGAAATTTTTTTTTTTTTTATAGATTGTTAATAAATACTATCAACCTTACAGTCACTATATGACTATCGTGACTTGTGAACTATAAATATACAAAAAATTTGCTTCATTACATGTGGGTACTCAAATGAAAGTTCTTGACGAGTGTAACATCGGGATGAGCTTATATCTTTAAAAATGTCAATATTTAAGAAAATACAGTGCATTTTTATTTAATAAAACAAAATTTTATTTATTTATAGTTCACAAGTCACGGCAGTCACATAGTGGCTGCAAGGTTGCTAGTATTTTTTCAATTTTTGAAATTTCTTAAATAAAATTAAAAAATTCAAGACTTTTAGTCATTTTCTAAATAAAATTTTTCAATTAATTTTTATTCCTACTATTTATTAATTACTACGGAAATTTGGAATGAATTAACTAATGCATAATTCATAACTTTTAATTTTTAAAAAACTTACTTAAAAAACTGCAGAAACTCCCGAAAGAGTCCAACTTTTATACCATCAAGAATAAATTCAACTTTTAAAGTTTTAATAAAATTTGAAAAAGTTTCTAAGGGAAAGAGAAATTTTCCATGATAACAAAATAAAAAAAGTTAATGAATGAAAAGCAAAAGTTTAGTTTACTTATATATATATATATATATATATATATATATATATACATACGGTATAGCTTAACATATATAATAACATATGATTAATGTGTGAGTTGATATTCAAATAACAAGAAAATAGAACAAAAGTTTCGTGAGTAGAATGAATAAAAAAAGTTTGTGAAAAACAAGAGTAAGGAAACACAAGAGCAGCATCGATTATTTAATATTTTTTCCACAGTAAAGTAGCACGCTTTTTATCGATCCCACTGTTCTGAAAAGACTTTTATATCTAGGATAGTAGATTACGAGAACATGTTACACGATATACGATTTTTAATTTATGAGCTTCCCTGTTAGACTATTAATAAGACACAATAAATATTTACAGTGTTTGTTTGAATTTTTATTAGCTTCGCAGAAATAATTACAAGTATTAAACAGTACAGCAATCCATATTTTACAGTACAATAATTTATTAATTATTTTTATTAATTACAAACAAATAAAACCCTAAAAATAGTGAAGTAATATTAATATTATTTATTATATATTTAAATAAAATAGCAGACACACCCGGTATAAATAATTTATTTTACTCTGAGTTTTCTACTATTTTCATTGATAATTTTTTACAGTGGCAATTTTTTATTAAAAAAATTAATTGTTAATTCTCCACAAGTCTGTTGATTTCAAATGAATTTGTACGTTTGTTTACTGAAAAATTAAATTAAGTGGCAGGTGTTAAGATCGATTTGATACGAGGCCTCGTTAGACCATGCGTGATACATTTATTCTTTATTATTTTAGTTTCATTACATGCTTAGTATATAATATTCACTTAGAGCTCAATGTATGAACAAATTTACATACACGTATACATGAAATATAGTAACACATTAAACAAATGGAAGAAGGCACGTAGATTATAGTGATTATTTTTAATTAATTACTTTTTTAAGGCGATACTTCACTGTTCGTGCTTTGAAAGTTTTAAAATTGTTTTTTAATCAATACACATATCTTTCATAGATGACAATTATTTTTTTTTCAATTGGAATATTTTTTTAAAAATTGTTATTACTTTGAAATTCAATTAAAATTGTAATTTTTATATGATAATTAATTTAGCAGATATTTAATAATTTTTTTTAACAAATAAATTATGGCAAGAATGAGAAAAAAATATTGAAATTTAAAAAAATTATAAATGCAATTTTTTAAAAATTATTTTTCAGAGAAAATTTGTTTATTAAATAAAATTTAAAAAATTATCAAGTGTCTGCTAACTTTAATGTCATAATTTTTATTGTTTAAAATTTTCAGTGCTAAAATTTAAAAATTTTTAAATATTTTTATATTTTTACTAAAAAGCTAAAAAAAAAAATTTTTCAAACTTTTTAATAATAAATTTTTCAAATTACGCACAGTGATTGCCTTAAATTTAAAATAATTTCCTCGCGTAAAAATGAATTTTTTAACAAAAAAATGTAAAGTATGAAAGTGATTGACGATTTTTATTTAACAATATTAATAAATTATTTATATAGACATTTAAAAATACTTAACAATATAAACCTTATGTATTAAAACAATTGAACTTATAATTTTTTTTTATTTCTTCATTGGAATATCAGCAATAGGCCACAGAAAAATGAATGTTTCTCTTTAACAATCTTATAATCTTAATCTTGAATTTGATTGAATTGTAAACATTAAAATTTTTATAACAATTGTGATAAAATTTTAATAGAGTCAATTAAAGTTTTACGATAAAAATCTGACCCAATTATAGTTTAGAATTCAATAATCCGAAAATATTACCGTACAAAATGTTGATGGCTCGAATGATTTAATATTATTAATGTCTTACTTATTATTATTTTTATAAATATTAATGTTAATTTAATAATGACATTAAATGGTAGTAAAAACAATTTGTAATTTTCAAAAAATCGGTGCATCAAAAAGCTGTACAATCGAGCATATCTTCAACATTTATACTTATTAGAAGATATATGGATGTAATTCATATATATAAATATCCACTGACCGGAATAAGAAATAAAAATCGATCGATGTGAAATATTGGACAAGGTAAACTTGTGTAAAGACTTTTCCAATTTTCTTTAACTTATTTTTTCGCTCTCTCTCTCTCTTTCTCACTCTCGCTTTCGCTCTTTAAATTAATTTCCTTGCTCGGTGTATTGCTATTGATATTTATTTTTCTTTGACAATATTTTTTTAATTTCCGCAAATAGAATAAAAAAGGCATTACGGTTACGTAAATATCAAAGCTAAACTTATTGGCCCCAGGGAACTTAAATGTTTGTATTTTTATAATTATTATTAATGAAAAAAATTCAGTAAGAACCGTACAATTTAATTCAAATTAAATACAAAAAAATTTTTCATACAATAAATATATATTTTACACTAAATGTTTTGCATTTATTAGTAAACATTTTTTAACTTTATGACTCGAGTTATTTTATAAATAACAAAAAATACTTGACTTGAAAACACGCGAACTTAAAAATAATGATAATGGCAAAACTCACTAAAATAAAAACTAATGAAATATTTATTTGACAACTCACGTTATACATTTCTTCCTCAATAACTCAAGTGTCTAATTTTTGTGATAAATGAGGAAGACATTACTCGATCTAATGCGATACAAATATAGTTCTAATAATCACTATATTACTATAACTATTATTAATATTATTTTTTTTTATGAAAATTTTTTTTTCTGAGTAATTTTTTTTCTAAAATTATAATTATAAATATTATTATTATTATAAATAACAGAAAAATTTTTACTAGAATCGTAAATTTACAAACATGTATGGAAAACACATTCTATGCTTGTAAAGGTGGACCTTCTTATAAACTCCGCCGTCCATCTTACGGCATAAAACAAATTTTATTTTGTTTAAGAAATTTTTTATGAAAATTTTTTTTTTCTGAGTAATTTTTTTTCTAAAATTATAATTATAAATATTATTATTATTATTATTATTATTATAAATTATTAATATTATTTATCATTCAAATATCATACTAGTGAAAAATACTTCTAAATGTGAAAGTGCATTATTTAAATCTCTTCTTTCTTCCCTCCCTCACAAACACTAAAATTAGGGAGAAAAGTTTTATAAACACTACCATTATTTATTATTAACAAAATTATCACTCAATAACTCAATTAATAAAAAAATATTATAAATTTACAACTTAAATTATTTTATATCTGAGTATTTCAACGGATTAAAAATCTTTTTTATAAAAAATTAATATATTTTATTTGAGAGATGAATTATTTTAAATGTTATTATCAATTTATCAATTTGATGATTCGATTTTTAATTTAATGATCAATGTCACTGTTTTTTTAACTTTGGAACTTGCAAAGTATTTATTTTTAAGTACAGCAATGAAGCAGGAGTAAATAAACTGCGTAATTAATAAATTAACAATTATATCTTCGGTTTTTTATCCGAATCAGTTTTTAATTAAATAATAAAAAATATCACATATTGCTGAAAGTGAGGAAGCAATTAAAAATTTTGGACATTCTTGCTCTTGACAATGTCTCATATTAGTGTTCCAATTTATCTACTTATAATTACAATTAATAAAAACCATTATTACCAAAAATCAAAGAAAGAAAAAAAATTTTTTCTTGAAAATTTTAGCTTCTACACTGATAGAAGAATTTATTTGTAAAATAATATTTGTTAATAGTTAACAAATCATTTATTAGAGACTACTTTTGAGTATTAAAAAAATATTTTTTAATATTATAATTATTTATTTGTACTTAATAAATCCGATATTCATTTATTAAATATTAATTAATCTTTTTAAATACTAAGAAATATTTATTAAGGACTAAAAAATGGTTTGTTAAATATTTACAAATATTTTTAACTATAAACAAATCTTTCGATCAGTGTATACAGAAAAAAAATGTACTTGAATCAAGCAAATAATTTTGAAGAATTTTATCTTGATTAAAAAATTTTTCGTTTTAATCCACACAGTAAAAAATTTTACGTCATTGTGTCAAAATATTATTATTATTATTATTATTATAAATTATTAATATTATTTATCATTCAAATATCATACTAGTGAAAAATACTTCTAAATGTGAAAGTGCATTATTTAAATCTCTTCTTTCTTCCCTCCCTCACAAACACTAAAATTAGGGAGAAAAGTTTTATAAACACTACCATTATTTATTATTAACAAAATTATCACTCAATAACTCAATTAATAAAAAAATATTATAAATTTACAACTTAAATTATTTTATATCTGAGTATTTCAACGGATTAAAAATCTTTTTTATAAAAAATTAATATATTTTATTTGAGAGATGAATTATTTTAAATGTTATTATCAATTTATCAATTTGATGATTCGATTTTTAATTTAATGATCAATGTCACTGTTTTTTTAACTTTGGAACTTGCAAAGTATTTATTTTTAAGTACAGCAATGAAGCAGGAGTAAATAAACTGCGTAATTAATAAATTAACAATTATATCTTCGGTTTTTTATCCGAATCAGTTTTTAATTAAATAATAAAAAATATCACATATTGCTGAAAGTGAGGAAGCAATTAAAAATTTTGGACATTCTTGCTCTTGACAATGTCTCATATTAGTGTTCCAATTTATCTACTTATAATTACAATTAATAAAAACCATTATTACCAAAAATCAAAGAAAGAAAAAAAATTTTTTCTTGAAAATTTTAGCTTCTACACTGATAGAAGAATTTATTTGTAAAATAATATTTGTTAATAGTTAACAAATCATTTATTAGAGACTACTTTTGAGTATTAAAAAAATATTTTTTAATATTATAATTATTTATTTGTACTTAATAAATCCGATATTCATTTATTAAATATTAATTAATCTTTTTAAATACTAAGAAATATTTATTAAGGACTAAAAAATGGTTTGTTAAATATTTACAAATATTTTTAACTATAAACAAATCTTTCGATCAGTGTATACAGAAAAAAAATGTACTTGAATCAAGCAAATAATTTTGAAGAATTTTATCTTGATTAAAAAATTTTTCGTTTTAATCCACACAGTAAAAAATTTTACGTCATTGTGTCAAAAAATTTTTATGTTAAATATTTAACACTTTTTTGTGTTGATTTAATAGAATAAATGTTAAATTTGCACATGAAAGTGTTAAATATTTAACACAAAAAATTTTGACGCAAAATTTTTTACTATACTTCAAAATTATTTAAGAATTTTTCTCTTGACTCAAGTTAATTTTTTTTTTTTGTATATAAACTGCTCGACAATACTTTATCCAGATAAAAATTCTCAGAAGCTAAATTAATTTCCTTTGATATTAATTTTTCCTTATTTTTTAAAAAGAAAAGAGCAAACCTTCAACCACCGACATTATAAAATAGAAAGAATTGTTTTAATAGTTAACCCGTCATTTATTATTATTAAATGTCAGCGGCGTATACTCGTACTAAGTTTCGTTGGTAATCGATTATTAATTTTGTTGTTATATCGCGTACAATTTATATATAGAGAGAGTAATAGAAGCCGACAAAGCAAAATGCCAATAGGTCAAGTAAAACAAGGACCTATAGCTTCATTAATCGATAATTGGTTTTAAATTTCTTTAAGTTAAGATTCTTAAAAGTTTCAGTATGCTATATATAGATAATTATCTTCAAGTTTATAAAGTCTGTCGATAAGTGAAGTGAAGTTTTAACTTGAAACTTTCTGAATATAATGAATGAGTTTTTATTTAACAAGAATCTTCGGTGTCTGTGTCAATCAACGGGAGCTTTTCATACATCGGCGGGTTTATGTTAAGTTTGAATTGCTAAAGAGCCATACTACGTATCTCTGTTGCTGTGGAGTTGGCTTGAGTTGTCGATCCAGAGCTTGCTTGTACTAGCCCTTCGTCTTCACCCTCACGCACTTGTCGCTCAGTGCAGTACCTGCATCGCATTTTAGTGTCATCACCGACTTGCACTGACCGCGTTATTATTACGAGTGTCAGGAAACTTATTATGAATAATACTGATGGCACTATCGTTGCTATCAATAGTTCTGTTCGTGTTTTATTCAAGTCGAAACGTGCTACCACAAACGATGAATCGTTCTGTAATTTATAAATTTATTTGTTATTTAAAATTAATTTATATTTTGCATAAAAAAATTTGAAATTTGAACCAAATTAAACTTTTTTCTGACAAGTTTCGAATAAAAAATTAAGAAAAATATTTTTTTTATTTCGAATAATTTTATTTGATTTCTTGTCCCATTTTTTTTTTTTTTTTTTTCAATGAGTTTTTTTAAATGTTGGATTAAAATAAAATAGTTAAACGTTCTTAAAAAAATTTGAAACATTGAAATTTTCAGATAGAAAACTAGTAAAATTTTTTTTAAATAAACTGTGACAGTGAGATAAGATTTTTCTTTCTTTTAAAGTCAAAGGAATCCCAGTAAACTTTTTTTTGCCTCTGTCGACTTAATACAACTTTAAATTTCTAACTCGGAAGATGATTAATAATCTAAACTTTACACTGAGAAAATATTTCTCTAGGAAATTTTTTTACGGAAGTCTGAGAAAATATGAGCGTGACAAAAATTTTCAGTTTAAAATTTAAATCTTATAAAATTTGTAAAAATTATAATCTGAAAATATAATTTATCCATTTTTTTTAAGCGGCACATTACAGTATAAAATGCAATTTTTGTATTATAATTTTATTCGTGTATATAAGTAAGAAATTTGATACTCCCAAAAATTGATTAGCATATTAAAAATATTGTGTGTGCGTTTGTTCTACATAGTAAAAAATTTTGTGTCATTGCGTCAAAAAACTTAGTGTTAAAAATTTTTGTGTTAAATATTTAACACTTTTATGTGTAAATTTAACATTTATTCTATTAAATCAACACAAAAAAGTGTTAAATATTTAACATAAAAATTTTTAACACAAAATTTTTTGACGCAATAACGCAAAATTTTTTACTGTGTAAAGAGAAAAATTAAAATAGAATTCAAATTATCCCTATCCGTTAAATAAGTTTGTTTGTTACGCTTTCACGCGGAAACTACTTGACTGATCATCATGAAACTTTGTACACATATTCTTGGAGGTATAAGAAGTAACATTGGATACTTTTGATGAAAAAAAAAAAAAAATTTATTCTTTACGAAATATAAAAAAATTGTTTGAAAAGATTCATTTCTGTTGTAATGATCTCTGATATTTATTTAATGGCTTAAATGCGAGTGAAACCGTGGATAAAAGCTGGTATTTCTTATACATGTTACAAGTCACGTAATTAATTTTGTAACCGTCGAAGCCTATCCCCATATTCATCAAAATTTATCATTCCTCTACACCCTCGCTCATATTTCCTCGCTGATAAAACTCATAAATAAATATTCCAAGGATAAAAATTTGAAAAATTACCCTTTTATGGAAACAAGGATATCGGCTCTGTGCAGTTTGATTATCTCCATCGCGTCCGTGAGTTTGCAAAAAATCACGACACTCGCCTCGAAGGGTGTTGACGCAGCCCTCGAGGTTGATATAGAGCCTGGAAGTATTGTAGATGGTAAGTGAGCGCTGAGAGGGTAGGTACGCGTTCGTCGGATCGACAGGCTTCCCCAGGCTCTTATCGTAGAGGTTCAAGAAGGTCGTCAAATTAATCCAGGGCCCCGGCATCGAGGCTGAATCCACCAGTGTGCCATTCACGCAGTCTTCCGTCCTGAAACAGAGAGAAGAAAGGGAAATTCACTCATCCGTTTCCATTTTAATTACACACTCCCACACTTCCGCCCACCTCTGTTCCACTTTTACTTTTTCCTTCATTACTTAGCCATTATTATATTTTTCCACAGAACAAATTAAACTCCTACAATTAAAGTTTTTATTCACCTCGCTGAAAATGGAAATTATATAAGACTCATTTAATTGTCGAGGAAATAACTTTTTTTATTTTTTCCTTATCGTCCTTTTAAGTTTTTATTGGATCGCTAAAAGTAGAACTCGTTTATGTTTGTGTAAACATTATTCCAACGTGTATGGAATTGATGTAATCGATCGTCTATGACTAAGCTTGTTTACTTTTTAAGAGGAGTGCTTCTACTCGATGACGTGATAACAACCACCAATAATTTACTTATAAAATTATTTTTATCTCCATTTTATTCTTGATGTTAATACCGATAGTCAAAGTTTATTTCTACTTCAATTTTGCAAAAATTTTTAATTTATAATTATAGTTAAAAGCTATTAGAAAAATTAAAAAATTCTGAAGACATAAAATAAAAGTATCCCAAGCACGCAAAGGACCATTGAAACTTTTTTGATTGAAATTAAATTACCTATTTATCATTTTTGTTCTGAAGTCTGCAATTTCAGAACTTTTATTTATAAGTGAATTCATTTATCCTTATTTTTTATCAACACGCTTTTATTAGGTTGACCTGTATCTATCTATCTGTCTATCTGATCGTCAAAATCTTTCAACGTCATCGCTGCCGACCTTATCGTAGCTGTAAATTTGAAAATTTGCATACGTATCAAGGACCAATGACAATACAATTTTTTTATAATTTTGTCCTAGTTTTCTGATCAAGAAAATTAAGATAAAAAAGTAACTAATTTTGAAGGAGAAATATATACCCTCTATAAAATGACAGTAAATATTGTTGTTTTAATTAAGAAAATTATTACATTCTGTTTTAATTATATTAAAAAATTTTTAAAGAAATTATAGTTTAAAAAACTAAAAAAAAAGACGATTTAATAGCGAGCCAGGCTAAAAAGTATAAAATAATTTTGAATAAGTTTAAAATAAAAATAGAGTGATTAAAAACAATTAATTTTATTGTAAAAAAAAGCATCAAGTGCTTTCTAATTTTTTTTTAGAATAATTTTACTTTTACAAGTATCTATCATTAAAATAATAAAAATGAAAAAAATTTGATCAATTATTTCACACTTTTTTACAATAAAATTAATTTTTTTTTATATCAAACTTATTAAAAATCATTCAAAATTATTTTCTATTTTTAACTTTTTTAAACTGTAATTTTAATTATTAAGCTTTTGTGTATAAATTTAATACTCTAGTTAAATAAATAAATAATAAAATATATCATTTATATTTTATCCAAAAAATTACACATAAAAAATGGCTAATTTTATATACAACATACACTAAAGCATTTTCCGTGTACAATGTGCATTGACGGTTTATCGATTTATTTCTCGTGCGTCCGCGATGTGATTATCATCAACAATTTAAACCAATCATTAAACTGGCATGGAATTATTTCTCCGAATAAGCTGAGGTCATAAATTGGAATATTTTAATAGATCAAACCAATAATTCATATTTTTCAAATAAATAAATAAATAATTCATTTAAAGCTTCAATAACCGTAAATATGTCGCAAAAAATATTCGTGCAAAAATTATGTATTTCACAAAAAGCCTCTCAGTCTCTCGGGTTACAAAGTAAATCATTGACAAATGCACGGCACTTAAGCCCAACATTACCTCCGGCGGCCTCGGTGTGCATCGATTTTATCTTTTTTTAAATGTATTCATAATGAATTTACCACACAGAAAGGTAATAATAATTATAATATGTATAATAGGTTACATTAAAATAATTATAAATAAATAAAATTAACTTGATTCAAGAGAAAAATTCTTGAACCAATAAAGTTATTCAGAAGAGCTTTATCGTCTTGATTTAAATAAATTTCACTTGATTCAAAAATTTTTTTCTTCACAGAAAGAAAAATTTCTTGACTGGAGAACAAATTTCTTGGTGGAAGTAATTTTTTCTTAATTAAAATTATCATAAATACTTGATACAATAAATTTTTATATTTGATCAAAATTTTTGGGTACTTTAGGGAAGCAGCGCCACCTACTTTAGCTGAGAAAAAAATTTTCTGACCTTGAGAAAATTTTTTTCTTGAATATTTGATACCCATTTTATATTATTTTAGCGTGCAATTATACATATTGAATGAAAAAAAATGATTCAATATTATTTGATCTTCCCATTTGACATGTTAATAATCAATAAAAATATTAATGAAATATTACTTCTATTTTTATATTTAATTTTTTGTAACAAGAGGCTGAATTTTCTCAAAACAAGAAGATTTTCTTGACTTAAATAAATTTTCTTGACTAAAAAATTTTTTTTTCCGCTCAAGAAAATGATTAGGAAGAAATATTTTCTTGGCTCAAGTGAACCTTTTTTCTGTGTTTAATTAAATTTATTAAAAAAATTCATACCTGATAAGATTTCCATCAGAGTTGACAGCAAAACAGCTGGCGAAAATAGCCGTATCATTGCTAACATCTTCCCAAATTTTAACAGGACTATCTAGCCTCGTCCCGAGTAAATTCCCATTAGCCTTATTGAGTGCTAATGCACGAGAGCATCTCGCTGTAATGATGCTGTCATCTTGCATCAGATAAACATTAACATTATTTGAATTAATCCTGGGACAGTAGCGATCACAGGAGAAGGGACGTTTTATTTTGGTGCATCTAGAGTTTTGACAGTCGAAAAACCCGTTTAGTTTCATATTATCTTTCTCGCTGTCAACAATAATCCCGTCGGCTTTGTGGTGACACAACACCAGCTCGCTCATATTGGCACAATGGCCTAGACTGCAATTGAATACGCCTGTTAGAGATCCGCACTCGCTTCCATTGTTGCAATTGTATCTTTTCAATTTCAGAAGATTTACCTGACAAAATAATCATTTGTGTTCAAGTCATGCCCATTATTTTTTCTCTCACAAAAAATAAAACGACGAGATCAAGGGATTCAGACATAAATTTGAGACAAAATGGGCGTACAAATTTATTTTAACTCGAATCCTTCGGTTTAAATTTATGTCTGATCCCTTTATATATTTATCATCCGCTTCATTTATTTTATAGGTCAATTGAAATTTTTCTTAACAAGAAACGTCGAACAATTAGATCGCTCAGACGTATCTTGTTGTGAGTTTTGTCTTTATATACTTCTTATACAGTAAACTTTTGTATAATTGTGAAAGAGCAAGTGTTTTATCGGCGGAACGGAAATTCTAGAGCGAATAAGAGACCGTCAAAGAGACGATGGTTGCCGTGGAAACCGAGGGATGTCCTTCTGGCATTTAAACATCCCTGTATTAGTGGATATAAATTTTCCAACGTGACCTTCATTTTTTTTTTTTTTTTATTATTTATCAATAGGCTCCCGTATCTCTCGATAAAAAAAAAACTATCTCATTTTTCACAAATTGATAGCGAAAAAATTCATTTAATACTGTGAGATAAAATAAAAAAGTTTAACCTAACGTAAACTTTCTGAAAACCATTTGTTCATTTTTACTCATACATTGAGAAAAAAAAATAGTTTTATTAAGAAAATTTTCTTGATACAAGAATTCATGTTCTTGAAAATTTAAAAAAAAATAAATTTTTTTTCTCAGTGTAAAGTGATAAATAAAAATTCTTAGATTAAGAAAAATTTCTGCTTGATTTAAGGCTATGAATTTTTTTTAAATAATTTTTTTTTGGCTTAAGTAATTATTAAAAATTTTTTGTCTAAAAATTTTTTGTCTAAACAATAATTTTTTTCTCAGTGTAAAATTTTTGAACATAAATTGAGAAGAAGTTTGAAGTATTTTTCAATTGGAAAACTTACTTGTGGACATGAAACGGTAGCAAACTTAGTACAGTTTTCTAAGATTAAATCAGTGCCATTGCGTCTTACAGTAGCATGAATTTGCGGACAGAATCCCGTCGTTTTGGTCAAACACCATTCTCCACAACTTGCCCACGCACAATAATTTACTAGTGTAGCATTAACTGTTTGGCACATTACGGGTTCAGGATCGATACCTGCGTTAAATGCCCTGAAATTATAAATTAGTCATTGTTATCATTATTTTCTTCCCTCTTTCTTCAAAATTATGAAGAAAATAAATTTTGAATACAGCAAAAATTGAAAGAAAACAATTTCTCTGTGAAATATAAAATAAGACTTGTAAATTCTTTGTAATAGAATTACAAATTTCAGACATTTAAATTCTACTTAATCCCAAAGTGAGTAAGATGTTAATTTAATACCGTGACGCAACACTTTTTACCGTTAAGCTCGCAATCAATTCTTGGAAGAAATTTATTAGTATTGAAATTTAAAATAAATTGTTACTACAGTTTTTTTGTGAAATATGTAGAGTTTGAAAGATTAAAAGTTTTTAATTAAAATTCAATAGTTTTTGAACTTTTATTATAATTGGAGTTGCTTTAACTACTTATTTAAAGTGAAAGTTATTAATAAATTTGATATATTATTCAATTTTAATTTAAAGATTAGAAGTTTCAATTTTTAGGAAAAAACATTTGTTTTTTTCATTAATTAATATTATTATTCGAAACAAAAAAATATGCGAGTAAATAGAAATTTTTCGCGTTTTTATGTAAATAAAAAAAAATTTAATACTGAAATTCTTTCAATGTTTTAAACTGAATTTCATTTTTAAAAACCGTGACAATTTTTTAATTTGTTCAAATGAAAAATTCAAAATTTAATATCACTTTAAAAGCAATTCAATATCATTAATATCTAATATCTAATAGAGGTATAATATTTTGGTTTGGATCATTCAAATAATTTATAATTGAACTATTATTGTATCAAAATATTTAAAAATCACCCTCTAAAAAATAAGGAATTAGACCAATTGCTAATTAGACCGTCGAAATGTAAATATTACATTGAATACTCTAAAAATTAACATTCAAAATTTGAATTTACAAAAATGTTATTTCAAACTGTAATTTTTCTAGAGTTTTAAATACGACGGGACACTTATTACTATTTATAATGTAATTTTTCGATTTTTTTTTTTCCGTGTAAAGAATTAAAAACATAAATCGATAAATTTAAAAGTATAATTATTATATCAGATAAAAAAATAAAAAATTACCTGTGGGACGGCATGTATATAGCGACAGTAAGATAAACCAAAGAAACACAACTAATGACAATAGTAAACTGGCAAAAACAAATACCACCACAAATTCGTCGGTCTTGTTCTGGTATCGAACGTGATTTAAACTTTCGTCCCATATTTTAAAGTTTTTATATAGACATGTAAAATTACTTCCAATTGACCTTACTGACCACCAAACCGTGCGTTGTATTCACATGCCAATTTCAATAACAAATTCCAATTTTTTTTTCTTTTAGTAATTTAATAATTTAACATCACATTTATATCAGGATATACTGTGATAAATTATCAACTCAACAAATGTTACCTTGCCAGCCAGGAATATATCTATATTTCTCTAGAGAATCATCTCTCATCTATAATTCAAATGAACATTCGTACGAACGAATGAAACGCGTACTCAAGTATTCATAAGTTGTTGACATGTTCCCAGTTAATTTTAAAATGACTTTTATTTCAATTAATTTTAACTTTTTATATAGATCAATGAAAACGCTCGCGTGTTGATTTATCATAAATAAATAAATATAATAAATTTATTTTTGTATCATAAATTTGCGATTCACTTTAAAGGAGACATTAATATTGCTTTTTATTATTTCATTTAATTATCACTCATCACTCATTTAAATACTTAAAAAAATAATTAATATTAATATTAAAAATAAAAAAAATGAAAATTATAACAAAAAGTATGTGAGGGAGGGAAAAAGGTGCTTAGAAAAATAATCAGGTTATTTTATCTGGTTTAAGTCTACAGTTGGTTTTAAAAAAATAATTTTTTAGTGATTAATAAATATTTAAGTTAAACTTTTTAAATATCCACAATTGCACATGACACTGATCTCATTTCCGTCCATTTTTGACGTTTACTGTACATCACACGACCGACGTGACGGTATTTTTTTTTGTTCTTTATCTTTGGTGCCAAAATTTTAAGCTTTAATACAATTATCAATTGTAAATTTTAGTTATTGAGGAAAAAAGTGTCAGCGCAAGCTGACGGCCCGATAATTTTAAGCGACTGATCCTGCTGCCGGTTATTTGAAAACAGAGCTGATTTCTGGGATGTGCGTATCACCGTGCAGCCGGTTTAATTGTAAATATACGAGTGCGTGCGCGAGCGCAAGAGCTTTCAGTCGGGGCGAGCTTGCGCGGAGCTTTCGATGTGCTCCACGCTAGAATGGAATTCTAGCTGATACGAGTTTACTTAACTAGACGGTACTATTACTATTGTGTACTATAGATATTTTATTTTGGATTTAATACAGCATCTGAGTTCAACTACCCCCGAATGTGGTTCAGAGGTCAACTCTCGAGTTTAAGGGCACTCGCGGAAGATAGCGCGCTGATAACATTTTTTACTTTTTTTTCATCAATCCACTGATGCTTGTATAATATTTATTTTATTGCCGCCCGGGGGTTGAGGGTAGGGATATAAATTCTGTATTTCGCTTGAGTATTATAAGCTTGTTTATTATTTATGGTTTTACCAGAATTTTTAGGTCTTCAGTCCTTTTAAATTATGTTAGTTATAAATCTTTTTGAAGTAATATTTTTTAGTTAAAAATGGAGTAGAATAATCTGTCATTTTTTAAAAAAACTAATTCTTTTTAATTTGGAAAAATTATTTTGTAGATTTTTTTATTTCCTACAAGAGTATTTTTTTAAAACAAAAAATTTTGATTTATTTTAATTCTTTAAATTTATCAATATTTAATCAATATTTATCAATATCAATATCAATATTTAATTTATCAATATTTAACGAATCTTTTCTTTAAAATTTGGGTAAATATTTTTGTTATTGTATTTACTAGAGCGATGCCTCTATAATTTGCAGGGTCAGATTTATTCCCTTTTTTATATATCATTGTCATCAGCGCGTTACTCCAGTTCTCAGGTACAATTTGGTCTTCTAGTATGCGGTTGAATAGATCCAGTATTAGGTTTTTCCATGGGTAAGTAAGGTTTTGGAACAGCTCGTTGATAAGTAGGTCAGGTCCTGCTGCTTTGGCATGCTTTAATGTGGCGAGTACAGACTCCAATTCATCAAATGTGATTTCAGAATCAAGTACTTGATTTCTAGGCATGGTAGGAGAAAGATATAGCAGGCTGCGGGGTTGATGAATAGACGCATAAAATTCATTCCATTTACTGATTGGAATTGACGATCTCACGCCGCCTTTATATCTGTCATTTTTTACAGCAGCCTATTTAAATAAATATAAAAATTGTTTCTAAATATTCAACACTTGCCATAATTTCTATAATTAATATTGCTCTAAATTTTTCTGTATTCACGAATTTGAAAACTTGAATTTAATTTGGTCTTAGGAAGAGAAGGTAAGTGAATAATTGAGCAATAAAGTATAATTGCAGTTTGCCATGATTCAAAACAGAGAAAAAATGTGATAATATATTTAATAAAATTATCGTACAATAAGTTATTTACATGAATTAATTTTTAAAATATAATGAAATATTTACAGCTTATTTTAAAAATCACAAACAAATCACGATAAAAGCTGCGAATGTTACAATTATTTATATCTTAATGTGCTTGAGGCAGTAGTTTCGGGTGCCTCAGGAGCACTTTTGCGATTCAAGGCTGATTTAATATCAAGTACGACCAGAAACAAGATTGACTTTATTATTTCGTCTATAATTCTAGTTAAAAAACTAGAATCATAAACAATTATTGAATTATATCAAACTTGTCTCCAATAATTGCGCGTTACTCATAAAAATATTATTAATTTACTTATAAACTATTGCTTATGAATTAATATTTATAATAATAATTATCAAGTTCTTAAATACTTAATATTACATTCTATACATGCGATTAAATCTTTCACTCTAATTTCACTTTTTACCTCGAAAATATTTATTTATTTAAATTTTATCTCGAAATATCATACAGATCTCGGTCTTAATGCGAGCGAGTTCTTGGCACTAATAAAAAAAATATAATTAATATATTGAGAATTGATAGTTAGTAGTACAACATTGATAATTAAAATTTATAATCTAAAGATTAGTTGGAGTTAAAATTTTTGGAGTTAAATACTTTGATAATAGATTGTCGGCAACGTCTAGTATTGTTAGTTAGGCAGGACAATTATTTTAAAAATTTTAAAAAATCAATAAATAAACCATGCGATATTTTTAAAAAATTAATAAATTTTATTATTATAATTTCTTAAGTAAAAGTAAAAATTTTTAAGTTTTCTATAAGTTGAGTGAAAAGGGTAGTAATTAAATTACTAATTGTGATGAGCGATACGACTATAAAATAATATAGTTATAGTTTTAATTTATTTTTTTTTATCGTTGACTATGTTAGTTAGTACATAATTAGCTCATTATGACTGATGTATTTTTCCGTCTATACTTTAAGGCCCTTTAAAGGCTCTTTTAAGATTCACAACCATTCTAGATGTTTAGGACACACATGCTTTCAGAACTTATTCGAAACGATCTGCTCTTCACAAACTATTTCTTTACTTTTTTTTTTTTTAAATTGTTATTAACTTTTTTTTTTTTTTTTATTGATAAAAAGGCAAAATAAGTATCCTTAAAAATTATTTTCTTTAAAAATTTTTTGATTTTTTATATCAATCTTATTTATAATAAATCCCAAAAAAAATAATTTAAAATATCACATATATTCAATAAATAGTCACATAAATTTTTTCTTAAAATAAATCCAATGTAAAAAAATTCAAAATTTTACAGAGCCTCAAATTTTTTATTGAAAGATTTTTTTATCCATGAAATTTTTATTTTTATTTTTCTTACATAATTAAAATCTTTCAAGAAACCCCTAAAAATTTTTTTTTAAAATAATTCTAATGTAAAAAAATTAAAAATTTTAACAGAGCTTCAAATTTTTTATTAAAAGATTTTTTTATCCATTAAATTTTCTCTTATTTTTTTTACATAATTAAAATCTTTCAAGAAACCCCTAAAAAATTTTTTTTTAAATAAAAAAAAACTCACTATGCGTCTCAATTTAAAAAATATGTTTGCGAAAAGAAGTTCGATACGACAAGCACAGAAAACATTTGACACGTCCCTTTAAAAAATTGAAAATAATAAAAAAACAAATTTATTACAATTTTAATACATATTTATACGATTACGTATATTATATATATATATTTATATATATATATATATATATATATATATATCTATATAATATTTATATAACACGCGGTCAATAAATTACAATAAATATTTATGATCCGCCGTATGTACAAAAGTTGCAACAATTATACATATATACCCCTTTAATTTAATTTAATTTAATTATTAATATCATTAATTATTCACAGGCGAAATTTTAATTTTATTCCTAGCTTATTGTAATTAATTAATTAATTAATTTGCTTAATAAAGATAAAAAGGTGAGCTTCGAAAAATTTGGAAATAATTAAATATAATAAATGTATAATCAGTAATACTTAATTGAAAAAGAAAGAAGACCAAATTTGATTATTTATATAAATGGCCTTAAAAACTTTATTTAAAATTATTTAGCATTAAACGCGTTAAACGATTGCGTATTAATTTACTGGCAGACGATCGAGTCTTTTAAATCTTTACAACTATTATCATTAAAATTTACATCATTTATTATTTAAAAATAAAAAACCTATCAACAATTATAAATAAATTCTATTAATTAACAATTAAATAACTAAACTTTAATTGCTTGATAATTAGCAATTATTGGCCAATTAGATAAATTAATTTTAAACAAATTTGATTGGCTTCTTTTGAAAGTACTATTATTAATTTGGTATTTGTTGTTTTTATTATTATCGTTACTTTTATTGCTGTTATCACTTTGGGTCACTCCCGCGCTGGGGGGTGAGCCCTCGGTAACAATCAGTACTCCTCTTCGTCTTCCTCGAATTCGTCTTCCGCTAGAATGCTGCAATAAAGGAGTACAACTAATTATTGCATTGAAGTATTTCGTTCTTTAGAAATTATTCTACCACTGAATTACATCGATTTATTTATCTCAGCGGCTTTTATCTAAAATATCTACTGAGTTAGATTAAATCGATCGATGTAATTCAGTAGAACAATAGTTGTTGTTTTTCTTCGAAGGTTATCTTCCAATTTTTCTATGAATTGTAAGTAACTTACTCCTCTTTTCTCGAATATTTATCGATCAAATTGCGACCTGGTCCTCCGCAGCTCTTCATTGGTGTGCAATGCCAATAAAATAACACAGCCAAGGATATTACGAATATTAATATCGGTATCACTATCGCTAGTACCAAGTGCCTCAGGTTTTGATTCCATGAATATCTGTAACAGTAAGTCGTTTTTTTTTTTTTTTTTTAATTATTTGGTCAAGCTTACTCTGTACTTGATAAAAAAATTATAATGAAAATTTAATTATTGGATTAAATTATTGACAGTAAAAAAACTATTTTCAAAGTTACAGTAATTTATTTGCACTTTTTGTAGAAAAAATTTGAAAATTTTCACAAAAAAAAATATATAATTTTCTAAAAAATCAATTTTTTTTTTAGTGCCTACATCTTTTATTACGATTTTTAATAAAAAAAAAAAAAATTTACCCAGAAAAATTAATTAAGCGTAAGTTTAAAGAAAATTTAGTAATTGATGTATTTCTCATGATATTAAGGACACACTTTTTTATTCTGTAGCATGAAGGTATAACTTCTTTTATTATTATCAAAGTTTGGTCGATATGAAGTACAAAGCATAAAACTGTTAATATTAATTTTTTGTTAAATAAACCTTGAAAACTTGTATACTAAGAAAAAAAATTCATTCAATTTTCGCAGTTCAAGATTTTTTCTCTTGAATAAAATTAATTTTTTTAATTTTGTAAGTAAATAAAATTAATGATTTTTTTGGGTTAAAATTTTTCAATTTAATGTATCATATATTTTAAAGTATAAAAAGACACAATAATATGCTTTATAATTACCCGCTCTTTGAAAAAAACAAAAGTACTCTCTAAATTTCAACGACAAGTAAAATAAAAGTATAAAAAAGTTAACCAATTAAAAATCTTCACAAGTTATTATTGATCATTGATTGAAAACAACGATTGAACTCTACAGACAGAATAATTCGAATTGAGTCCTATTGGAATTCCATCGGAATTCTATTGTTTTCGGTAGAATTGAATCAAGTGCTCAAATCAATTTAATTAAGATGCATTGTTCGGATTTATTCTAAAGAAATTCGATGTCTTTTTTTTTAATTATCTTTTTTAGAACTTTTTTTTTAATTACATTTTTTTTAGAAAATTTTGAAGCTTAGTAGAAAATAATTACCGAGAAACAACAGTCCCAGGGTACGTCCTACTGTAGAAGCAAGGAATTATTTTCCCCATATTACTGCGTCCAAATTCTTTAGCAAATACCGAGCAATTAACTCGAGGAGGATATCCGCATCCTTCGGTGTTTATGTAAAACTTCGTGTCAGTAACATCCCACGCTACGGAACCCAGTGGCTTGGTTATAAATTCGTCATAAGACATTCGGGAGTAATTAACTCGTAATTGGTGACACCTCGTCGCTGCGCTTGTGCAACCTAAAAATTTATAAAACGTAATTAAGTATTTCATATTTTTAATAAAAATTGTTTTGACGAGTAAAATTTTTTTAAATAAATCATAAAATTCTTGTATAAAAAATTAGAAACTGAAAAAAAAAATTCGGTAATTATTTATAAATTTTTTTGAAAATTGTGATAATAAACATTTTTTTTTTTAGTTCTTCATTTTTTTATATATTTAAAAAAAAAATATTTCAATAAAATTTAATAAAAATTTCGTTCAAAAAAATGCAAATTAAAATTGTTGACCCCATTTTTGAATATTTACCAAAAATTTTTCTTTTAAAAAAATTAAAAATTTATTACAATTTGAAAAACTAATTCAATATGTATTTTTTACATAATTTATAAAATTTGCTTATCTACTGGAAAAAAAAAAAAAAAATAATAATAATAATAATAATAAAAATCACCTTCTCTGCAACTAGCCCAGGAGCAATTTTTAAGTCCTTCAGCATAAACATGTTCGCTAACGACACAGGCAACAGGATGAGGTGAAAAATCGGCAAGTATCGTGGTGATGGCGGGTTCTACGACAAAAGGTATTAAAAAAAGGAACCCAAAAACCGCGAGTATTGCCATTGTACCGAGAAACAGCGAAGTATAAAATTTAGCTTTTTCCAAGAGCGTTAAAATTTGAATAGCCGGTAAATCGGTGGCTCCTCCAGCGCCAACTCCGTTCGTTGTTGAATTGGGGTCGTCGATAATACTGGACTTGTCATCCTCCTGCGCCCCCATAATCACCGTTGACTCGTCGGAATCAATGATTGATCTTTTTTTTGGGTCGATAAGACCCAACGATTTCCGTTTCAATTTATTTAGCTTCTCCAGCTTTCGTCCTTGACTCACACTTGCTCTTTTTTTTTCGTCGACCGCGACTTATTGCTCGTAACCCCTCCTAAATATTTATCAGCCGTCGCGGGTCTGTAATTTATTTTATTTTATTTTATTTTATTTTACCCGATAAAAAAATAACATTAATAACAAACAAATAATCAATAAATTATTTAAAAGTAAAAATACAACTAGAATTATTTATTTATAAAAATACTTGATGTAAAAATTAATTATTTGAGTCGGTCTCCTGCCAGTCACGCGCTAACCATTAACAAGCCAATAAAAATACTATCAGTGTCCTAAAATAAATAATACCGATGATGATTATTATTATTATTTCCTATCTAGTCCATCAGTGTGTTCAGTGTTTGCCTAATCGATTTATATTTTATTCATTTATTTATTTATTAAATATATTATTTGCGTGAGAAAATTGTTAGTTATTTATAAATAATTTAAACTCTCAGCTGCATTGACGTGAAAGCGTGTCTATTTAGCGTTTTATTTTTAAAAAATCCTTCACGTCCTTTCGTTAATCTCCATCCGCTGAACACGTGGCAACTTTTCCAAAATATTTTTTGTTAAATCGGTCAAAATTTATTTTTTTCCTTTTTTATTTTTTAAACTTTAATCATTTATTTATTTTGATATATTTTTTTATTTGTTATTAAATCCTCTTTCATAATTATTAATATTTTATGGCAGTGCAAATAATATCCTGCACTAAAATCTGATTAATAAAAAATTTATAATAATTTATTTCATGTTTTGTTTCTTTGTTTATCAATTCAATATTAGATTTTTTAATAAAGATAATTTGAATCACGCGTTCCCCTCCCACTCCCTCTCACTCTCTTGCACTCTTTCAATAGTGCCCGCGTAGGGAGAAAATCGATTGGCGAGCCGGGCTCTCCTCCAAGAGGGGAATGCCTGTAATTTAAAAACAAGAAAATATTCCATTAATTTAAAAATCAAAAATTATTTCTGCATTAAGGAAGTTCGAGCGTAACTAATTAGTCAAAATAATGTTAAAATGTTTTTTTTTTTAATTTTAGTCTTCCTAATATTTCTCAAAATTCTTTATTTTAATTAAAAATAATTTAAACAATTTAAATAATTTAATTAAAAATTTAAATAATTTAAACAATTTGAAAAATTTTCATTTTAAAGATTTTTTAAGCCGGGTTACAACAAAAAAAAAAAACAGTAAAAATAGTGAGAAAATTTTCAATCAGTCGCCATTTTTTTTTAAATTAAAATTTTAGAAATTCCGTACGTGCGACGATAACTACATCTTTACTGATTAAAGAGCAATTTGGGTTTTTATTTTCAGTTGATCCATTTTTGAGTTATCAAACCGACCATGAAGGGGAAAATTTTTTCTATTGCTCTACGAGATTGTTAATAACTTTGTAAAAATTAAATATTTTTCAATAAAAATTTAGGGTAATAATCTTTAATGTACCCTTAATGAAATAAAAAAAAAAACCGATCCCCAAATTCCTTTATTTTCCCTGTCAAAAAAATTCCCGAAAATCACCTCTTTCTTTCGATAGTCACAGTGGTGTTCCCCCTTAAACAGATTTGGCAATAGCGCGTTTGATTATACCCATTACAAAGACGCGGATGAGTGTGTGAGTTAAACATTTCTCTCTACTGCAACCATATTTCTATCCTTTTCTTTTTTCTCAGCTGTTGGCGCAATGTTGTCTAATCTTTATTCGAATAAATAGCTAACGATAAAAGAGTATACAAACATAAAATTTAACTTTAAATATTTCAAAAATTATATCGGTAATATATTATTATTAAATTGTTTTTATATTTTGCACTAATTCAAGTTTCTTGTATATAGTTTTTTATCCATCAAAGTTGGGAGGTTAATATTGAAAAAAATAATTAAAATTTTGTCCGCCATAAGAGCCCTTGTATAAGGAGTTAAAATATGTGATTTTTAAAATTTAATATCTAAGTAACTAAACGGTGAATCTTTTTAAAATTTTGGAATTAAATCAATTTCAAATCTCAAAATTATAAATTATTTTTTACATTAGATTCGCTCGAACCTCTTAAAAAAAAAACATTTTTTCAAATCTTACGTGACGGATCTCAGAGCGCCATAACAGAGTCTCCTCCCCCAGCGTCAGCCAAGTTGCCTGACATACTTTTATCAAGCTCGCTCTTGGCAATAGGGATACCCTTGAACCGCATTTTGGCGTCGTCGCCCACGACAACAGTCCTCTGGCACAGGATCAATGTCAAGCAACTTACAACAAACAGGACACTTGGAAACACCAACGCAACAATGAATTCCTTCCAAGTGGTTTCCAAATCGAATTTACTGACGACTATTTCCGTCCTGTCCTTAGCAAAGAAGCAAGGGAACCTAGCCCGAGCGTTGTGATCCGACCCATCTTTCCCAAACTCGTGCAAAAATTCCTTACACTCGTCCCTCAACGTATTAACACACCCCTCAAGATTAATCATCAGCCGGCTTTCATTAGCGATAATCAACGTATGTTCCGGCGGGAGTGCAAAATTCGCGTCGTCTAGTGGCTTAGATGCGTACAAACTCAAGTAGGACAAGTAGGTAAAGTTAGTAAGATCAGTGAGCATGGTCTTTTCTAACACCGAGCCATTTATACAGTCTACCGCTTCAACCCCCAAGCTGCTGTTGTAAATTCCGTAGCAAGAAGCCATCAAAACATCTCCCCGATTTTCGTTCCAAATTTCTTTACTGCTTTCGACATCAATCGCACGCTCACATTGGCTCAGATAAACTTTATCTCCACTGATCAGGATCATGTTCTTGTTGCGGGTCGGGATGTCAACGCACCGGCGGTCGCAATTGTAGGGCGTTCTAATTCTTTCACAAGTTCCGCGGTTGCAATTAAACAATCCGTCTATTGCAATACAAGTGATCTTCCCTCGTCTTCCCGAGCACTTTAAAGGCGGATCTGTGTCGCGGAAATTGCACTCGAAGGCGTCGGTAATGTTGATGCAAATCCCCGCGGTGCAGTTAAAAGTTCCCGTCAAATTCCGGCACTCGTCGGCGATACATTTGGACTTTTTGGCATTTTCCTGGTCGATACCGTAGCACGTTTTATTGGTGATGTTCGTGCAATTCCCAAGGAGAATTGTCGAGCCGTTGTTCCTCAAGTTAACGTGAATTTGGGTGCACGGGCCAGATGTTTTTGAGAGACACCACTCACCACAACTGCCCCAGGAACAATTGTCCGCGTTTACGGTTCTTATTGTGGTGCACATCGCCGGAACTGGGGATATTCCCGAGGAAAATGCTCGGGTGCTTGGCATATAAATTGCTACTGTTAGGTAAACTAATGCCACTGATGAGAGGACTGCTGTCATCTGACATATGCAGATGGTGCCACATATCCGACCATCTTGAGGTGGAATCACCAGGTCTTCCACTGGTGTCGGTTTTCCCATAATGAGACAACTTTTTTATCACTGCTTAGGATATCACCATCACTGTTTTTTATTCTTTGTTTTTTTGGAAATTATTATTTATTTTTTTCTTTTATTGATTAGGAATTTGTAGAGAATTTATCGAAGTAAATTTATGATTAAATACGATTTAAATATCCACGAGCTTCACCGGTCACATTACATTGAAAAGAGTTTGCGACGACGGTGCCACGGACGTTTTTGCCTTACCAGAAACAACTAATGAATGTATGGAAATTTTAAAATGCGCAATCGCGACCTGCACCAACATCGATCTGCGGATGCGCGTGATCCTCGACTCTAGATAATACTCACGGTTAAATCAATAATCGAGCCTGCGCTCTTATTACTTTTAGCTTTTTTATACCACGGGCTTTGCCGCAATGACGTCATTTTGGATTAAATCATTGGCTATTTTACAATAATGCTTTTTCATTGATAATTCTCCAGATTTACTTTCATTAAATTTTATTTAATTATAAAACTAATTAAATTTCTTCCTTGAAATAAATAAATTTATTTATTTAAAAGTAATTAGCTTTGGAGTTTTAATTCCGGGGGAAAATAAAAAAAATAACTAGAGTATTACGTGCAGAAAAAAATGAGGACTGTGGTAGAGCACGAAACTCAGTTTTTATCGAACAAAACTCGTACTCATACTTTACTTGGATGTTTTAATATTACAAAGTAGACAGCGTGGCGCCGGTATTGTGCACTGAAATAGTTTGCAGTTGCAATTATGCGTGTCGCGTGTACACGCTCACTTTATCATACTCCAGATCGTTTTTAAATTATAATTTTCATAAATGTTTATTATTTTCATTAACTTTTAGGTATAAATTACATTACATTATTTTTTTTTTTTCTTCAACGCGGATAATAATTACCCAATTTAATGTAATTGTTATCTCTCATGCTCTTTTGATGTATTTAAATAGATAAATCGATTTATTGGTTTTTATTTTTATTCTTCTGAACTTTTAAATAATATTTACGTCATAAAATATTTTATCGGAAATTTTAATTGACATTTTATTTTTATTTAAATTTATTAACAAAATTAATTTTAATTTTAATTTTATTCCTTATAATTAAAAAAAAATTTTAATGATTACAAAAATTGACTATAAAAGTCTTGAACGCTAACAAAAATTGCCACGTGACAGCTCCTCGACATAATAAGAGTTAGAGCTGATACTTGTATGTAAATCGATGTACTTCCGGTCACTACCACTCAACGACACTTGTATACGCTCCAATTATGTCAATCAATTACTATTTCACGGCTATACACTATTTAAAGACATAATACTGTCCACACATTGTAACAATCATCCCCTCTCGAGTTCTATTTTAATCCTTCATTCTATTTTTTTTTAAACCAAAATAGCGCAGCCATTGAACTGACTCAAATAATAAATTTATAATATATTTTCTAATAGTGTAATTTTCACCTAAAAAAAAAACAATAATACCACAAAAAACTAAATTAATAAAAGATTGTTTACATGAGCTTTTATGATAAGAATTACAACCGCGTGCCCACATGTCACATGTTTAGATTTTTTAAAAGTAAAAAAATTAAATTTATAAAATCTTTATCGACTTATTGACAAGTTTGATAATTAATGAATAAATATTGATAGCTACTTACGTAATTTAGAAGGAGTTGTTAACTCGTTCACCGAAAAATGCTTACTTAACGCAGTAAAGCTTCATTCAGCCAAACAAATATGGCGGTTGCAGGGTTGAAAGCAGCGCCACCTCGAATTTGCCGTATCTCACTACTAAATCAATATCACGTTATCACTATACATATATTCATTTTTTATGATTATAAGCGTAACTATGACTATTACTAAAAACCCTCGGGGAGGTTTTTAAAAGTGTCTTATGGGTACTTTTAACCTCTGTCAAGCCTCGTTCTTGTCAACATAACTTCTATTCGTTTCTACTTGAATTTACTTTAACACAGTTTTATTACTGTAGAATAGAACAATGCCTTTCATCTTTAACCGAGGTCTGACTGAAGCCTGGATACTCTACTTACTACTTACTACTCACTACGATCCGAGTCATTTCATTAAATATCAAACATTAACTAACTTGTTGTACCTGATTTTTTGTGTGCTATTAAAAAAGATATAATATTATTATTATTATTATTGTCTATACTATTAAGAGAATAAGCAAAATTTTGAGGCCAGTGTATTTATATGATAAAATGGGTTTTTTGGTAGTGATGACATTTCATATCATTCTCACCAATAGTCAATTTATTATGATAAGTATTTAGGCTGCATTAACTATTGATGTTTTTAAAGATATAAGCTCATCCCGATGTTATACTCATCAAGACCTTTTATTTGAGTACCCACATCAATTTTTCATATATTTATATATATTATATATATGTATATATGAAAAATATATCAAAAATGCATGTGAGTACTCAAATGAAAGCTCTTGATAAGTGTAACATCGGAATGAGCTTATATCTTTAAAAATGTCGATAGTTCAAAAGATACAATGTCATTTTATAACTATTGATGTTTTTAAAGATATAAGCTCATCCCGATGTTACACTCATCGAGAGCTTTCATTTGAGTACTCACATCAATTTTTCATATATTTATATACATTATGTATATGTATATATGAAAAATATATCAAAAATGCATGTGGGTACTCAAATGAAAGCTTTTAATGAGGGTAACATCGAGATGAGCTTATATCTTTAAAAACGTCAATATTTAAGAAAGTACAGTGCAATAAAAGTCATTACTAAATAAAGCAAAATTTTATTTATCTATAGTTTATAAGTCACAGCAGTCACATAGTAACTGCAAGGTTGTTAGTTATTATTTTTATTTGAATATTATTTACTAACAAACAAATTGAGGGTAGATTTTAAAGATCTAAAATTCGTATAAAAACACTTTATTGCTTGTATTAACTTGTATTGAGTAAATAAAAATAAAGATAGAGGTCAGCGAAGCTTTCGTGACAGAATTAAGGGTTTGAATAAACAAAAACTAATCAGTGTCATTTGCTGTTTTACGACGTTGGAAATTTGTCTTTGAACTCATTTAGTCATCCTTTGACCCATTTAATATACTGGCGGCTTGCCAAAAGCCTCCTGGCTTTCTTACCTATTTTTTCTCTATTTATCAAATTGGAAGCCAACGGAAATTAATTGCCCTTCGATTTTGTTAATATTTTTATCGATCCAAATGCAAAAAGTAGTTTTACATTTTTGGCAATCAGACTTATCCTTTTTTTTTTTTTTTTTTTTTATTATTAATCGGAGATTCCGCTAAGGGAGAGATAATTAAAAATATTGAACGAATTGGTATAAATATGAATACGAGTATTGGAAAAAAAAGATGATACTTCGGGAGTACTTGGCGTGAGCCACAACCCTCGTTACACACCAACAATCTGGCAGTGTCTCGAGAAGGCCAAGTGCCATTGAGTTTGAATACGCTGGAGACTTTGAGTATGGATGAATCTCGAGAGATCTTGAGAAGACTTCAGGTGGTTCGTTAGGACGTTGGGGACTTAATTTTTGTTTGTATCGACGGGTTACTTTTTTTAGCTCTAAGCTTTGTCATTATCGAACGTTCAGCTCATTAAAAAGCTCCAGGGAACCGATAATTAATTTGGTAATTTGATAAATTGCTGATATATCGTTATTATTATTATTAATATTATCATTATTGTTAATAATTGAGGCTTGCGTGTCTACAAATTTTATATAAAAAACGTTTATTTATCCACAAACTGGTGGAATAAAGCATGATACCCGAAATAAGACACCTACTTCGGCGTAGTGCCAATCTCGATCCCAAAGATTTCCCCAGAGCATAGAAATAATTTTTTTTGTATCTTATTTCTTGTCAGCAGCTTTAGAATTTTACTTTTATATTTATTAGAGGCTATTTATTTTTATTGGATTGTTTTATTGATATTTTCAATATAAAAATATTTTATTGTTATTATTATACTTATTTTTGTTTATTTTTGTAAGTCTAAAAAAGTTTTGCCCTATTTTATTTATTTGATGACTATTTGACCGAAAAATATAATACATAAATTATTTTTCATATTTTCTTTAGCTCAATTTTTATTATAAATAATTTGGTACTTTAATTACAAAAATAATTATTTAAATTACTAATAATATTTAACTTAATGTTATTCAAATAAGTAATAACAATAATAATGTAATTGATCAAAGTAAATATTATTCAACTTTGAAATCTAGAAGGAAAAGAAAACAAACTTTAGAAACTAACATTTGGAATAATAAAACCCTCGAAAAGTTCTCTGAGATATTTGCACATTCAATACACCGATTTTTTTAATATTTCTCAAAGAATCAAACTATTTTAAGTTTTTTAAGGAGTTTAATTTTTTATGGTCAGACTAAGTATCCATTTATGAACTTTTTTTTATATCTTTATTCGTTAATTATTGAATAATTTGTAATTCATTTTTAAATTTATAAAAATAGGTTACAATTTATGGCACTGAAGTTGAGACATTAAACATTTTTTTAGAATTTTATAGCAATTAAATTATTATAAAAAAAATTTAATTAAAAAGTTCCACATGTGAAAATTATTAAAAATTTTTAGAAGCATTTTTTTATTGTAATTGATCCGTTAAAAAAAATTTTTAATTGACAGCTGACGGCTAACTTCAGTATCATTACAATTTTGATAAAAACAATTACATTTCAACATATTTTTCCGATTTCCTTATTAAATTTGTTGCAAAAATATCAAAAAATAAAAACATACATTCTTTACATATCTACGGCCTAATTACCAATTAGTCTAACTCCTTATTTTTTAGAGGATGATTTTTTAACATTTTGATGTAGCAATAGTCTAATTATAAATTATTTGAATGATCTAAACCAAAATATTATAACTTTATTAGATATCAAATTGTTTTTTCGTACAAATGGAAGATTC